CCTGCCTTCACCCTGAGTCAGCTGGGATAGACTCCAGCCCCCCACGACCCTAGTGAGGATTAAGCGGTGTTGTCTGCATTGTCCACAGATCTAAAGTCTGAAGGGAGAGACTTACAAAGTTAAGCCAAAAACAGAAACTTTTGTTTTTTGTCAGTATTTATGCACATGGACAAAATAGTTGGTACGCCTCAGTTAATGAAATAAAAACCCACAACGGTCACAGAAATACCTTGAATCTGACAAAAGTAATAATAAATAAAAATTCAATGAAAACTAACCAATGAAAATCAGACCATGCTTTTGAACCGTGGTTCAACAGAATTCTTTTTAAAAATAAACTCATGGACAAAAATGATGGTCCCCTTAACTTAATATTTTGTTGCACAACCTTTTGAGGCGATCACTGCAATCAAACCATTTCTGTAACTGTCAGTGAGACTTGTGCTCCTCTCAGCAGGTGTTCTGGTCCAGCTGGGATAGACTCCAGCCCCCCACGACCCTAGTGAGGATTAAGCGGTGTATAGATAATGAATGGATGGATGGGATCTACAGAAAACCAAACTGTTCATGTAAGAAAAAATATTTTATTTCTTCATATCCACACAATTTCCCCAAATCATTCATTTTCTTCACATTTTCCAAAAAATTTCAGCCATTACAACAAATGCATCACTTAGACAACATACATATATAGTGTATAAAAACATGTCTGTTTAAAACATATTTTCTCTGCAATACAATTCAAACAAAAAGTGCATCTTACAAAGTGCACTTACACTTCACATATCAAGAGCAGGTGCACAGAAACAATGTGATATTTACAATATTTAAAGAAACTGTTCCCATTGTTTGCAGTAAGTGACTCCATGCTTTGGTTTCTCAAAGACGTGAAGGATTTCTCTCCTGTTTGCTCGTGTTTACCACTGTTACGACCTAAAACTACAATTTTCTATGTTTTCAAGTAAGTCCGCAGTGCTGCAGAAAGTGCTGCGCAGGATCCAGTGCAATAACAACAACAACGACGGTGAAGTAACGCTGATGAAACTGACACAGTGCATCCCATAAGTTGGCATTGTTGTTAAAGTAATCTATGGACATATGTGTTCATATTTAAAACACTCACATTCCTGTTTGTGTATCTAAAAGAACTGAACAGATTCTTGACCCCACACAATTTAATACAAAATTGTTTCTTAATATAATTCCCCATCTTTGGATATCATGAATAAATATCTGATGGATCTCCGTCATTATCATTTGATAAACTACAGCAACCTGAGAAGTGCATGGGCCCAAACAGCCCTTAGTACAGTTTCATTTAAATGTGCAACAACATCTCCCTACGAATAAAACATTTGTTCTTATATATTAGTATGAATTTTAGCATTTTTTTTAAAAAACAGGTTCTGGTAAAATGGATGCTATCCACTTAAAAAACATCACCAGTTCCCTTGTTGTTTTTGATTGTTCTTTGTTTAGCAGCTGTATGAAACGCCTCAGTAATGTGAAAAACAATAAATAAAAATAATCAACAGAATAAAAATAAATGGTTGAGTCCAAATAAATTATCTTCCCTCTTCAGACCTACACACTCAGTGAATAACTTTGGGAGCGTCTCCTGAGTAATTTGCGGAACCAGATCCAGTAGAGAAGAATCATAAATATCCAGTAGCACACATAGGCCACGCAACCATAGATGAGAAACTTAGTCTCCAGTTTCTTCTCCTCGGTTGACCAGTCCCGTTGACTCTCCTTATAGATTGTGTAGGCAAGGCCACCTAATAAAATGGCCGCCCACACCGACAGGGGCAGGAGGGGCATGTAGTTTCCTACGATCTTACGCCGGCCTGACGTTCCCCAGCTGCTTTTGGTCATTGTGAGGATTGCAAAGTACTTGGCAGGCAGCAAGCTGGTCATGTACAGAACCGAGTAGAGTGACATGAACACCATCACCATGTTTCTCCGTAGGCAGCAGGCGTAAAACGATTTACAGAGCCCGATGATCTGGATGCAGCACAGGATCCAGAGGATGTCCCACAGCGTGCCCGTCCAAAAGAGCTGGATGATGGTGGCGGTGACGAAGAAGGGGAAGATGCCTGAGACGATGGACTCGTAGGTCATCCACAGGTGGTGCTTGTGCCACCACATCGCATTGTAGAGCCATTCGCGGAAGTAAGACTTGGTCCAGCGCGTCTGCTGGTTGAGCCAGCGAAGGAACTGAGCGGGCGTTTCCGTGTAGCATTTGGAGCGAGCTGTGTACCTAAAGGAAGAGAAAAAAAACAATTAAAGACCTATTAAATCTTTTATTTGTGACATTGCAACATCACGTGTGGCTTATTGCATCCTGAGCGTGACAACAGGAGGAAGGTGCGTACTTTGTGGCGTAGCCCATGCTCAGCATACGGTTGGTGAGGTGCCTGTCGTCACCGAACGTGCAGTGGGTTCCCAAAAACTTCTGATTGTACCAAGACTCCAGAAACTGCTGAAGGACATCGTTCCTGTACAGACCTACGTGGGGAAATACAGGAAAATGAAAAGAAATGTTAGAGACGGCACATTTAAGCCATCTCTATGACTCATTTTGACCTATTGTTACAAAAACAAAACTGCTTACCCAGAGGGCCGCTTATGCAGGACACACAGTTGAAGAAGGACTGGCAGGCTCTCTCGATGTTAAAAGCCATCCAGTACCTGAGGCTGCTCATGAAACTGATGTAAGAGTCCTTGAGGTTGAGGATCATCACATCTCCTCCCACGGCGCCATACTTGGGGTTACTCTCCAACACCTTACACAGCTCCACAGTGGCCAAAGGGTCCAACTTCGTGTCTGAATCGCACACCTGAGGAAGGAGAATAAATGGAGTTTTCTTTTACCTCACATTAAAAAACACTTCAGGAACATGCGCAGGGAGAAATACAAAGAAAATACCTGGATATAGTCAACTGACAAGCCGAGCGCTTTAAATGCGGTGTACATCACTTCCCGCTTGCCGCCCCACTTCTGCATGATGCACACACACCTATTGTTCTGGATCAGCTCCTCTACCTGTCTTCGTTGCTGGTCCTCTACTGTCACATAATCAGCACCCTGCTGGGCCTCGGTTGGGCTCCATGAGTGGTAGTTGTCCGCCCACACATAACAGGCAGGATGCTGATCGGCAAACACCTCATTGAACATGTCCATCATGTAGCGGTCGTCGTCCGTGTTCCCGTCCACCACCATGATGATGCGCAGCAGCTCGGGGGGATAACGGAGGGCCTTGACGGAGTTGAGGCACTCCCTGAGATATGTGGGGTCCTCCTGGTAGGCCGATATCGTCATGCCGATGGTCTTGGTGAAGGTGCATTGCTCAGTGCGGGCTTTCATCCGCCGGTGCTCGATGAAGGCGAAGAGGCTCTGGACCAGCAGGTGGAGCGAGAGGAGGAGTCCGTAAAAACCGAAGGAGATGATTCCGAACGCCGACGTCACCAGCTGGAAACCGGCGACGTAGGCCCACACCATGACACCCAGCACCAGCAGAGCAAAGAGGAAGGTGAAAATGGCTCGGAGCACCGAGAGCAGCTTCTTCAATAAAGGTTTCAGCTCCATTGTTTCTTTACCTGAGAGACAACACACGTTAGGATGCTTTGTACAAACAAGGTGTAGGGCATCAAGGAAGTTCTGACAGGTGCTGGGCCCAAAAACAAACTGACAAACAAAAGCTCTGCACAATAAAGTGAAAGCTGTTGATGAAGATCTGCTGGGACATATCAGAACAGCGCGCTGGCCTTTACTCGGACTTTTGCTTTCAGCGTGAGTCAATGCTGCTTTCAGTATGAATTGTAAATGCACAAATGAGGGAGTCTACGGCAAGGACTCATACTTAATCATACTTAATTTGATGTTTTGTGTGGGCTGTTTGTTAAACATGTTTAAAAAGAGAAAAAAAATCTACAGCTTGAAAAACAATACAGCTCAAACATGTTTCAAGCTTTCGAAAAGGTGTTAATCCACAATTGGGTTTCATTGACAACTATTAATCTACTGTTTTCCTGATATCATATGAAACTGAGAGAAGTCACATGCTTCTGTATAAAAACACGTGCAAACAGTTCAGGTGAAATGTTTTTGCAAAAGCTGAATTCAAAGGACTAAATAAGACTAATTAGGCAACTTGATAATTGACGTATTTTAATGCATTCAATTACATCTTATTTAAACGTAATGAGTTTCTATTAGTGTGTTGTTACGACACAATTCATCATTAACTTGTAATCATGTTATTTACTTATTTCAGTGTATTCAGTTACATCGTATTTACACTCATTTCAAAGAAACGTACGAATGTCAAATATAAAAAATGTTTTAGGCTACAGAATTCAATTTTCATCAGCTTATTTACTTTCTCTTTTTTTCTCATTTTATTTACTTATTTCATCATATTTGGTTCTAACTGATTAACACTGATTTCAAATAAATGTAAAACATGAAATACTTTTTTTTTCTTGCCCAAATAATTCATTATTAACTCATTTTTATTTATAACATTTTATTGTACCTATTTTAATGTTAAATCGCATTTGTGTTGGATTCAAAGAAATGTAAGAATATTTAATAATTTGTTCTAAATTCTTGTATGGACACAATCAATAAGCAGAATAGCAGACAAGGGTTGACAGAAAAGTTGCTGTTAAAAACCAGATCAATGATTATCAATACGCCAGAGTAATAAGTTAGGGTAATAAGTAAATAATTACCAAAATGTGATATAAACAAAATACCATTAAGAATCTTCCCGCAATCAGAAATCTGAGATTTGCTTTTTTTAAATTTATGATTTGGTTTTTGTTTTTTTGTTTTTTTACATCCTATAATCTTTAATGTCATGCCGGTTATTTTACTGAAAACATTTTGCGTTTCATTTCAATTAAACTGAAAACAATTCCACCGCATAACTAAAATAATTCATCAGCAAAACAGCAATAAAAACAGGAGGAAAGGATTTCATCTGAACCCTACCTGATGTCACGTTCCCCTGGATGTGACTTGCTGAGACATCCACTCGGTGTTGCTCCTGTCTGGCGACCTGTCGAGCAGCTTGCAGACTTTATAAGCTTCCAGGTTCAGGATGGGATGGAGAGACGTGTGCGCTTTTTATTTTTCACTTCGTGAGAATTACGCGCGGCCCCGCTGACTCAGCCCGTGCGTCAGGAGCAAAGGCGGTGGTCCTCCGGCCAAGGGGCGTGAGCCACGACGGGCACTGCTGCTTTGTTTTTCTTTTACCATGGAGATGTTAAGTCAAAATCTCTGTTCTTTCTGCTAAAACAATATTTTCTGGGTGGGAGCTGGAAGTAGATGGAGATAAGCGTATTTTTTGTTTTTTCCATGTCTTCACTGATTTATCTAATCAGTCGACCCAAACCCAACTCACTGATAACTTAACCTTGATTTATTTGTCTCAGGAAATTTTAGTCATACATCGCTCTCTACCACTCGTCCCACAGTCAGCCAGTATGTGGACTGACTTGGGTCTACTGTGCGGACACCAGCACGCATATTACTTCATTATTGTTATTTACTTGTACTTTCTATATTTTTGGATGCTGTTGTGGCGTGTAAATTTCCCCAATGGGGGGGATCAATAGAAAAGTATTCTATTCTATTCTATTTAAAAATCATAGTTGTATTATAGATAGATAGATAGATAGATAGATAGATAGATAGATAGATAGATAGATAGATAGATAGATAGATATAAAATAAAATATTACTCCACTCTTTTAGGAGTCATCTGCGGATGTAACTTTGTGCAAAAAAAAGAAAAAAGAAAAAAGAAAAGAAAAAGAAAAAATGTCAGTCGAGATTGTGAGTTTCAAAGCTGAAACTTCACAAATTATCCCATTTTGTCAGAAACTGAACAGAACATCCAGTCAAGTCAGTCAGTCACATTAACCTGAACATGAGAGAAGATCAGCAGCTGAGCATCTTCAGCGCCTGCCATGTTTACCAGTTGGATGTCGCCCTCTGCTGGTCAGTCTATAACAACACACTCACACACATACACAAAGTAGAAAGGTGTGTCTATTAAGTTGTAAAGGGAGATGGATCAAAGAGGGTGTCACAGACTTACAGGACATTTTAGTTGCATTCTCCTGCCAAATTTTTTTGGAAAAAAAAAATGTTCCCATGTGGTTCGGTGCACTGCTGCCACCGTCCTGCCTTAACCATGATTACATCCCTGGAGAGTTTCTTTACGGGGGAAATCTGTTGACCGCTCATGAGGGTCCACACCCTTAGCCACCAGAGCTGGCCCGATCCATCAACACACTCTATGTCGGACCCAAATAGAAGCCACCAGGAAGCTGATGTCATGCAGGAGGGCGGCCATGTGTGTTTAGGAGATGGTGAGCTGGCTGGACTTACTGGATATGTTGCTGTATTTCTGCACGAGGCCTGGATGCTCTCATCGATTTTCTTTGCAACAATGTGCTCAAGATTATTTTGCAGCAACTTCTGAACTGTAGTGCATCCTGCCACTGTCTCATAGGGTCTGAAATATAGAAAAGTACTTACATCAGCATGAAAAACATTCTATGTATGTATATGTTGGGTCTAATACTGTATTCGTGTCCTGCAGCTTTCGTTTCGTGCGGCCAGCGTAGAAACAGCCACACTGAAGCCTGTAATCAACATGTGCTGTGTTGCAACTAGCACCCAATCTACATCTTACTTTTGTCAATTTTAACTCATTATCTTCAATATTGCTTCACTTTTTTTTCCTGTTACAGTGTTTATTGAGGTTTATTATTCAGTTCACCTTGAACTACTTTCATTTAATTCTGTTTTTTTTTTTTTGTCGTTCCAGGTTATGGCCAAACAGCTGGTTTCTCCTGCCATGTGCCTGGCTAAGCATTACAGTTACTGAGGATTAAAGTGAATTAGTGTATGGCCACATCAGTAGCCTGCACTCTAACGCTCAGTGCAGAGGGATGAGGATCCCTCCGCCAACCTGCCAGAACTTCTAAGCAGCTCGTAAACATGGTTTGCGGGATTCCAAAGGATTCAAAACACAGACATCTGCGCTGCCAGAATCAACATCGTGTCCAAGATCATGTTTTGAGTGCAGCCTCCAGCGCGCTCTATGGCAGCGAGAGCTATTTTTTGTACGGAGGCTACAAGCCCTCAGAAACCTCGTTAGGATCCAGTCTTTATGCGGCGGTCAAGCAAGTGCCTGGTGAATTACTCATCTGCTCAGAGCCACACCCAAGCAGCTACAGTCTACTTCAATCAGTTTGGGGATTTGTTTTTTTTTCTAATAGAGTATTCCCATGTGTGCACCTGATGCTGCTTTAGGTGCTATTCAGGACCCTGGTCAGGACTTTTGGGGTCTTTCGGACCCCAGACCATTTGGTGTCGGTGACAGGTAGTGTTTTGTTTTTTAATATAAAAAGAGGGACATTTGTCATGCATTCAGAACTAAAAATACATCAACTTATCAGAGAATTTCCTAAACATTTTATAAAAGTCTGGAATGAATACCAACAAATATTTTGCACATATTCCTTCCAAATCTTTCTAAAGGACCTCAAAAGACTTTCTATGTGTGGCAACATGAAAGTCCTGAATAGGGTTAAGGTGGGGGATGAACCAATACATCAGAGAAAAGGGAAAAAGAAAAAAACCTTCGGAGGCAGATCTGTGACTCAGAGTGATTCTGAACATCAAGTTCAGAACACGTACCACAGATCTGAGCAGAAAATTTATGGCAGGAAAGTTTTCAATCAAGTTTTAGCTCCTGACGTCAGACACAGTATCTCTAAAAACTGGGATGTCTTGCTCAGTGACCCCATCTTGTGTCCACCAACACTGACCACCACTAATCCCATCTCCTGGTTCCTAAAAACCCACTGGGACCTGCAGATGTTGCTTTTGCAATCACTACAACAATATCAACAGAGACAACGCGTTCACGGAACACAGAAAAGTTGTGTACAGGCTTGAATGTGGCTGTTTTCTGCTCTGTTTGCAAGAAATGAAACTGCAGGACAACACAGATGTGCTATTAAAACTAACAAACACAACGACCCACTGGCACAGTAACATATAATATATGTATATGTAGGGCGAATTTTCCTGTAAAATGATTATTTTTTACTGTGTTACAATTGTAATTACTCTACAGTAGAATAAAATATTACCTGTTTAATGCAGCAACTACACTTTCGGATAATAAACTGCATTTACATAATGTTGCCACTGTAATCAACATTAACTTAAGTTGAGGATTAATTACAGCATTTTCCTCATTAAAAATGTATAAGCAGGGAATGGCAGACGTATACCATCCATCCATCCATCCATCATCTATACACCGCTTAATCCTCACTAGGGTCACGGGGGCCTGGAGCCTATCCCAGCCAACTTAGGGCGAAGGCAGGTTCACCTGGACAGGTCACCAGTCTATCACAGGGCTACACTTAGAGACAGACAACCAAGCACACTCACATTCACACCTACGGACAATTTAGAATCACCAATTAACCTCAGCATGTTTTTGGACTGTGTGGGAGGAAGCCGGAGAACCCGGAGAGAACCCACGCTGCACGGGGAGAACATGGAGACTCTTCACAGAAAGATCAGTGGGATGCAAACCAGCGACCTTCTTGCTGCGAGGCAACAGTGCTCCCAACTGCATCACCTTGCAGCCCATTTTGATAATTGCATATTCTTTTTTTTTGCTTTGATTTTTGTCCCATTTCACTAAAAAAAATTACTTAAATCCCTTAAAATCATTTTTATTCTACGCATTTCTTTTAAATTTCTAACACGAAAAACTACTTTTTTTTATTTTTTATTTTTTAAATAAAATCAAAAAATTCCACACAACTGAGAACCAAGAGTGACTCAGCTGCAGCCAACAGTCACATGACAAAAATTCAAAGACTTCAGGGCTGAAGTGCAGGCAGTGTTTATACTGAGCATAGACGAGTCGAGTATAGAAAATTAGAGAGACTGAGAGGACAATAGTGCACACTTGAGGAATGTTTTTGGTGCAAGTTTTTGGACGATACATTCTGCACGGTGAAACTTTTTGTGAGAGTGGATATGAAGCGTCGTGTGGAAACACTTTTAGATTATGTAGAGCCGCCATTTCCCCTCAAATATTGGTGACACATGTGGGCACGTGGAAAATTAAAAAAAAAAAAATCTATTAAATTGAACTTTTTGGGATTCATGGCATTATAAAAACATTTTTGACTTCTCTCAGCTTCTAGTCATGATTGTGCTGTTTCCATAGAAGTGAGGGACTTTACATTGAAAGATGGAACATATTGGAAAAATGTGACAGAAGCAAAATAAAAAACAAAACACAGAAACTCCCTGGAGTTGAGAGGGGCCGCCTCCAACACTCCAACCACTACTGAGGAATTCCATTAACAAGAAATGACACGATTGTTATTGTTTCATCTTTACGTTATGAAGCAGTCTCATACAGTTTCAGTGCACTGCAGATGAAAAAGCAGCGTCGCCAGTCTAAATACCACATTTGTAGCAGTGCACCATAATCAGTGATTATGGAGTATCGCCAGAGTGTGCAACAAGCTTCAGAGTCGGAGCCCACAAGGAGCAGAGTGGCAGCATGTTGTTGCCCTTTCAGATTTACTGCCGCCTGTCTGCAAATGTCAGGTTTGCTCCTCAGCTTCTGAGGCGTCCTCCAGCATGAGACCATGTCTGCCCTCTCATTGTCAAGTCATTCTGAGCTTGTAGCTACAAATGCTGTGACAGCATGAGAGGCAGCTCGATCCGTTACACACCATATTACACTCTTAGATACTTGCCAGTTTGATTTACGGCCACTAAAGCGATGAATTACGCACAAGTGGCTTTTCAGACCCATATACTGGCGACACGCTCGTCTTATACACTTGTGTGGGTTCGATCTGTCAGTTAAAGTCTCAAAGAGGACTTTCTTGTAAAAGTACAAACTGCTCTGTGTGTGTGGGGGGGGAGGTTATAAAGAGCAATGAGGCTGACTCTCTTCACACAGGATGTTGCGTTCTTTAATACTTCCAGTGACCCACTAATAGAAACACACCGTACAAACAGAACATCACGTAGTCGACTTTACTGAATTCTTTCTCTGCTCAGCCAGACGCCATCGTGTTCTTGATCCAGGACAAGTAATTGCAAACTTTTGTGTACACCCCAGGCTTCTTTCTCAGAGCACAACCATGGCCCCAAGACACAACTCCGTGGAGCTCGCCGGCACACACCAGGGGACCCCCGGAGTCACCCTGAAGTTCAAAGAGATGAGGTTATTTTTTTTCTCTATTTTTTCCCCCCATACTTCTTCAAAAGCAGTGAGCTCGAGGTTACCTGACAGGAGTCCTTTCCTCCCTCCAGGTATCCGGCACAGATCATGTTTTCAGTGATTTGGAAAGGGTATGCATTAAAGCAGGTGTCATCGCTCAGCAGAGGGACTTCCAGACACTGCAGCTCATGCGGGTACCTCGCTGTGAAAACACGAAAACAGTGTGCGTCTTTAGAAAATACCCGACTTCACTGAGCACAGCTTGTTTTTTTGGAAGCGTTCTCACGCTGGCAGATTGCACAACTCAGTCAACTCACAGCCGTCGTCGCTGGGCCGAATACTTCCCCATCCGGACACCTGGCACATGGTGCCGTCACTGGCACACTCTGAAGGGAGCACGGCGGGACGTACAAAGGTGTTCAGAGTGGCAGGTTTGCTCAGCTTGATCAGCATGATATCGCTGTCCTGTGTGCGGGAATCGTAGTCAGGGTGGCGGATGAACTCGGCGGACATGATGTACTGCTCAGTCCCATCAGTTTCCCAGATGTTGTGCTCTCCCAGCCGAACCTCCACGTTGGACCTGGAAGAATCAAACAGTTAAAGCAACACAAAGCTGCCATAAAGTAGTTTATTTTTAATCTTTTTGAAGCACAAAATCAATCTATCTGTGCCAACCAGCTGCTCCAGTTTACATGCTGTGACAAGGGACAAGCTGCTGGCCATGCTGTTTCTTACTTTGTTTTGCAGTGTGCAGCAGAAAGCACCCAGTCCTCAGACAGAAGAGTCCCACCACAGTAGTTGTAGCCAGTGAAGAGGGACACCTGGTAGGGCACAGAGTTTTTCCGGCACTCGTACCCGCCAACAATCCTGTCATCGTCGAGGGCAACTTTGGAGAAAAAGAATAAACAGGCGACACAATCAGAAGATTGAAAAACAAGTTATGTTTTTCGTGTATATTATAAGAATTATATCTGCAAAATAACAGAAAATGCACAGACAGCTCACTGCCCAAACGCTGCAGTGTAGAAAAAATACATACATACATACATAAATACATAAATACATACATACATACATACATAAATACATAAATAAGATTTTTCTGTATTTTAATGGCATATAGTAAAAAAAATTTTAAAAAAAAGAAAAGAAAAGAGAGAGAAATTAAAAAATAAAAACAAAAGTTTCAAGTAGAAAAACAGGACATTTTTTGTTATATAATGGTAAATCTAAAATGTTTTTTTTTTAAAAAGACATTTGCTATTTAATGGTGTATCTACAGTGGGACAAAAGGGGCATTTTCTTTAATTTTATTGTAAATCTATAATTTAAAAAAATCAAAGTTTGTTGTTATTTAATTGTGCATCTATAGTGAAAAAACAGGACATTGTGTATTTTTTAATGGTAAATCTATAACTCAAAAATAGACATTTGCTGTTATTTAACAGTTAAAAAAAGGACATTCTTTGTTATTCAAAATCTATATTTAAAAAATGTTGTTACTTAATGTTGCGGCTACAGTGAAAAACAAGACAATTTTCTGTTATTTACTATACTTTCATATCCACAGTATAAAAACTCCTCATGTTCAATAAATCTATAACATAACATCATTCATGTTACTGTTCCATTATTGTTAACATTTTTGTCAATACTATAGATAAAACAATATGAATTAAACTTTTTTCTTGCTTAATTTTTTTTTTTCATCTTAAAATCTTAAATGTATTAAACATTTCTGTCAAAACAGTGAACTGGGACGTTTTTTTTTAACTCACAAAAGTGTTTAAAGTTGGTTAATTTATTACATCCTCTCTGAACATTACATTAAAAAGAAAAAAAGACACAACACCGATTACATTAGGTAATAATAATAATAATGCATTTCTGAAATGTAAATAAACTGAAATTCACATGTAAATCGCATACTTTTGTTAATGTCTGCTAAAAATATGTGTATGAGCATCTTTCCATAATCTCCGGTGCCATTCGCTCTCCAATTATTGTGGATTGTGTTTCATACCTGCCCCTCCAAAGAGAGTCAGGAGAAGAAGAAGCTTCATGTCTTCTGTCTGTCTCGCCGGCAGATCAATGCTCCGTCACTCTAGTTTCAGGTATTTTAAGCCTCTTATCTCCTTTTTCTCAAGGTCTTCTATCGTCAGAGGTACGCCCCAAACGCTAAACATGTGTTGCATTTCCACAGTCGCACTGGACTTAATGTACACCATATAGGACAGAGAAACATGCTGAGGACAACAGCCTGGATCAGGAAATGTCTCAGTCAGCACGTGTTTATGTCTTCTAGGTTGTGTTGTGCTCTAAATTTAAGCTCACAGCGGTTTAAGTGAATTTTCTCGGTCGAATTGTCCCTGCAACACTGTCACAATGGGGTTTTTTTTTTATGCAATCCCAATGCTGGACATGGCATGTGCTGCCTTCCACTGAACCACAAAGTAAGATTCATGCTTGTGGACGTTGAGCAAGTCTTGGTATGTGGGTGTGCAGCAGACTCATGCAGTTAAGAATGCTCTGCACTCTAAAAAAAAATAATGTTTGGACCCCTGAGGAAGAAAATGGACCCTGCAGTTTGTGTGTGTTTGGATTATGATGAATTCTGTTCAAGCAACAAATTGACAGAATTCGCTTTTTCTCTGCAATCAGATTTTTTTCCCCCCAGTTTAATCACCACTTTCTTAATGGTTGGCTGCATAAACACAAATTTTTAAGTTGATTAAAATAAAAATAAGTTGTTCCAGCTTGCATTTACACATGATCAAAAATCAAATGTACCTATTGTGTAATCAAGTAGCATAATTATGAACACAGTTTGCTTGTTTTTTAAGGTTTCAGGCCCTTTTTTTTCTCTAATGGTTTAATATGAACTTTCATTCAACGACAGAGTTCTTGCCAATTAACCTTTTTTTTCTTTTTTTTCTAAATTATCGAACACAGTTTTTAAATCCTGCAAACAAAAACAACTAATTCAAGTTCAAATGACATAAAGTTGATGCACTTACCAACATTATAACCCAACCCATCAAAAATAACAAGTCAGAAATTAGTTTACCTTGAAATAATGCATTTAATCAGGTGGTGGGATTACTTTTTAGAGTGCAGTGACATTTTTTTAGCAGATCGTGAAACAAGAAATCGATTTTTTACAGAGATATGACGGTGATGTCTTATCATTTCATTGCCTGGTTACACATAAGATAGGATTATCAGCAGGCTTCTGGCTGGAAATTACAGCGTGCAGCTGTGTCGCAATACATGAAGTGAAAGTGTGTATGCTTTCACAATTTGCATGAGTAATATTTCTGGAATAGACATGCATTTTTACCATTTTATTAATGGAATAAAACTTGCTGACACTAAAAAAAGCTTTCTTCTTCTTTGATTTATTTGACTTAGTGGTCATTCATGTTTGTTTTTCAGATTTTCTGATTGTCATTCATTGTAAATTTGGGAGAAATTTACACAAACTGAACCAGTTAAATGAATAAAATGACGCGTAAAAGTCATGGTGTCTGTAAAACTCAATCTGTTCAGCAGCTTGGGAAAAGCAGTCTGTTGCTTTTCTGTGTGTCTATCTGGTTTGCAGATGAAATATTTAAAGGAGCTCCGTTTCAACATTGCTGAGTTATTGCTGAGTCACTGTTTTAGAACGGAGACATACCAAGACGTACGAGACTCCGTTACTCATGTATGAGCATAGGTGTTTATCAGCACCAGACAGGAAAACATTTAAACGTGAGGGCGCATTTACCCAAACCCTGTGATTATACACTTAAGGTTAAAATATAACGCATTCCCGTCCAGCACAGGCAAGTTCTGCCCCCCTTCATTACTCTGAGGCGCTCTCATCGTCTGCCTCGCTCAACCTGCACATCATTTCTGCTGCTTACTCTCTGCGGAGATAAGAAGAAAAAAAACATCACATGTGTTAATTGTGTTTGTCTGGATTTCACGAGAGCTCCTGACAAAATTTTCATCACATCCAAGCCTGCAGGACATTAAAGCAACCTTCAGTGGAGTTTATTAGAGAAAAGTAAATAGCTAAAGTTATTTAAATTGTGCATCAAAGGTGGAAAAGGTTCTTTGACAGTCTCACATGTGACACCCAGACGCCTGTTTAGTTGCACATCTGCAAAGCAGCATTCAGGATGTGATCAGCTGGAAAAGGAAGCACTTCACTGCTAGCTCTGCAGCCTACAACTGGCATTGACCTTCACTTATTTCCAACGCCACAGCATGTTTTTCAGCATTTTCTACCCCTTCCCTTGGTTACACTGTATGGAAAGGATAAAAACTTCCATTTATTTCACCATCTGGCCCGTCTCTGCTTGACCAGTTCCGGTTCTTCCCCCTCCCCCCCCTGCCCCAATCCCGTCCCTTAAAATACCCTCGGACGACAGAGAGAGCACTGTGTCAAACATTTGTATGACTTATGCGTTGCCAGCCTGTCAGACAGAGCCCAGGCTGATTATTCATATCCCGTTCGGTCTGCTAAGGGGGACCAGGCATTGCGGTTGTGAGTAGGGACGATGTAAGGAAGTGGTTTAGGTTATTGAGGTTCAGCTTTTTTCCCCGTGTGTGGTGTATTCATGGAAAAAAAAAACACTAGTGAGCTATACGAGCAAAAGCCATTGGCACCGCTTTTGACTTGAAAAACAAAATTCCTGACCTCTCCACACCCGTGAGACAAGGGTTTGATTTCCAGTCAGCGCCGCAACAAGATCAACAAACCTTCGAGGTTTCGGGGCACCAACAGATTCCCACTATTTGTGTCTCTGTGACAGCGGAGTGCAGAAGTTTCAACACAACTCTTAGAATACCACTCGAGAAAAACGGAGTTGTGGATTTGGACATTTTTTTAAGAATTGAGAAACGCTGTGAGGTCACAGTGTTTTGCACTCGACAGCATCGAAAAATACTGGGTGTACTGCAGTGACGCTGGGAGCTGCAGTGTGTCATTAGTGCTTCTCTGTCCCACATGCAAAGAGTGGCGCACACAAAGACACACAAATGTACATAGTTTTTAATTGTGCCTTTCAGGTTGCTCCCCAGCTGCTGCATTGAACAATAAACCCCCCAAACTTCAACTGTGCATATCACACTCTGCTACAAAGTAAATTCCCTTTAAACCTCCACTGGTTGTTTTACACACCCAAATTGGTATTTGTGTGGCACACACATAATTGCACGTTTGGTTGGTAAATCAAGAACTCTGGCAAGCCCTGAGCTCTGAAGGCTTCCCTCAAACTATAGCCTTGAGATAGCTATTAATATCCCCTACAGACTGCAGCTCTGCCTTCAAGTTCTGCTACAGGACTGCACAGCAAAGAATTCAAAGGAGAACACTTCAGCAGAGAAATGAAAGCGAGTGGATGTATTGCTGAAGAGAATCACGACCAAATTAAACAAAGCAGTCGCGCTGTCTAGACTTACAGTAAAACAAGCATGTAATTTAGTGTTACAAATGGAGCTGAACTGTACAGTTTTTAGGAGTGATGAAGAAGTTAACTGGGTCAGCTTTTTTGAAATAGTTTCCTGCCTGTTAGATTTGGTATTGGAGTACAATATCTCTCAGTGGGGAAGGTTTTTCCTACGCTGAATATTTATGCCTCCAAAAACAAAAGGGCAAAGATATCAGAGACTCGAATCCTCCTACACACTGAAATAAGGGTGTTGCTCTGAACTCACGCTGGGACCGAGAGCACATAAACAGACACATATACAGCCATGTAGTGTTTCTCCCTCTTTCTCTCTCTCTCTCCCTCTTCCTCCCCCACTTTCTTTTCCTTTTCTTCCTCCCCCTCACATCTGGACTGTTGGCAGGACCCAGTTCCTGTGTGGTGTGTATATGTGTGTGCATTAGCAGGGGACCCGGTTTTTTGGGTTGGGCAGGTTCTAGCGGCTCACGCTGTGTGAATCCGATCAAGATTTTCAGCTCTCTCCGGCAAGAACAAGTTGGATGATCAAAGCTGGCGCCATCAAAAAGGATGTTTCTTTGTGCGATTTTACCTCCAGAAAGTTGACTTTACCTGCTTTTCTAGTGTCGCAAGTATTTGTTATTGAAAGGAAAAATACCAACATGTTGGTATTTGATGTTCACAGTCGTCGAGGTTTACCGAGATGAATCAAGGGGATTAAACTGTAAAAACGCCTTAAGGTGGAGTTTGTGATTCTGAGCTAACGCCGTTTGTTAAATCCAGTAAATATCTCCTTACGATCCACGAGCTGTCAGTTCTGTGTTTGCGCTAAAAAAAGAAAAGGTGTTGGTACGCACCGCTGTTTCTGCAAATCGGTAGCCTCGCATAGACTAGACGTGTCTCCACAGCGCTGGAGAATGGTCTGGCTGCACGTCATCATCCTATAGGCAGAAACAAAGTTTGTGTCTTGTTTGTATTTCTGTGATCCAGTCACAATGGTCTTGGGCAGTGCTAAGCCCAGGATGCAGCAATGGTACCTCTGCAAAAAAAGAGACATGTCGAACTTGTTTTGCTGGAACATTTGCACAAGGGATGCTAATGAGTATATGCTAATCAATTAAAAGCTGTTAAAATTGTAAATGATTAAAAATATAATCACCGATAAGGCAGAAAATGTTACAAAATGTGTTGCACATTAGCTGTAATACCTGGTAACACCACCAGGTGGAGCCTCTTACTGTTTGAAACTTTAGTAGCCTTGCTTAGCTAACCCGTCCTGTAGAACATAAAAGGTCTGGCTGCACCTCACTATCATTCTGCTAAACAAGGAAGAAATGGTCTAGGTTGTTTGTATTGCTTTAAACCAATCACATTTGTTGTGGGCGGGGCTCAGCAAAGGATGTGGCTTCTCTGAAAACAGTGACGGGTGGAATTGTTGTGGTTGAACATTGAACATGCAGGGAGACGAGCTCTGTGATTAAAATGGATATTCCACTGAAAAAAAATAGCAGGCTTGCTGTACTACCAGATCTGAATCTTTGTCAGAACTTGAAATTTTCAGTGTGGTTACTGTCCCAGATGTGAGCATCCCCTAGTTGTGAAAACAGTAGCGCAAAGATAGCAGAAGGGAAGGACAAAGCCACCTAAAATGAGCCGCTAA